ATATTCATGCCTTTCTCAGCAGTATTAGTGTTAAATAGACGTAAGCAGCCTGATTTGGAATTGAAACTCGGTTTGTCGATTATCTTTTTTATATTGATGTTATACTTTTGCACAACTCCATTTAGTTCAAATATCGTATGCAAGAATATGTAGATTCATGCCTTTAATGCTAATTGAATGTAAGCAGCGTCAGTCGGAATTCGATCTTGGTTTGTTGATTATCTGTTTTATGCTGATGTTATACTTGTTTACAACTCCGTATAATAAAAATATAGTATCCAGGGAGATGTGGGTTCATGCCTTTCCCAAATATATTGGTGTTGATTGAACGTAAGACGCCACAGCTGGTATTAGATCTCGGTTGATTATCTTTTTTATACCGATGTTATACTTCTTCACAACTCTATCTTGTGCAAATTTAGTATCCAGAGAGATGTGGGTTCATGCCTTCACCAAATGTATTAATGCTAATTGAACGTAAGCAACCTTGACCAGAATTCCACCTGCGTGTCCTGATTCCGTTTTGATAACCATTGAGTTCCTCTACACCATTCCAGCGTACTCATAAGTGTTCGTGTTTTGTCGCCTGAGTTTTGACACGACCCTCTCCAATAGTTTTACTTTTTTCAACACATTAACCACCCAAATTCCATTCTTTCTTTCTTTCTTTCTTTCTTTCTTTCTTTCTTTCTTTAGCTCCTCCCCTAGTCTTCCAACCAGGTTCTCCCCACCCATTCACATCAAACACTTCTTGGTGGTCGCTGGCAGGTTGTGTACGTCTGTACCTAATCAAAAACCCAGTGACAAATGGTTTAACACCAGGACGGGACTTAATCTACCCAAGACGGCAACCAAATTCGACGTATCCTAAATTGTGGTCAAATAAATTCGACGCAACAACCAGGAAAAGAAGAGTGGCAGGAGAGAGAGAGAGGAAGAAATAAAAATAGCCGGCAAACTGCGTCTATTCGGCACGAAAAGTCATCTGAGCAATAAAACGGAATTATTTATGGCTCAAAAATCGGTCGACAACCGTAACTTAATTCACGGTCGCCCGCTAAGTTTACGACACGATAAATTCAGTTAGCGGATACACACAGACACACAAGTAAACATCCGGACACGAATATTCACAGAGACCGACACTCGCACATGGACTCTCCGGGTTTCCAAAAACTATTTTATCAGATAGACAAACACACGTGCCTATTCAAAAAGAAACTGCGGGTTAAGAAAAATAAATAAAAATAAAAAAAAAACACTAAAAATTACAATTGAAAAAATAAAGAAAAAAAAAAAAAGAAAAGACGTCCGATTTTGTTTCTTTCTAATTTCTTTCTCTCCGTTTCCATTTTTTTTTTTTTTTTTTTTTTAGCCAATTTCTTTTTCTCGGCTGTTAAATTAGTAATATTACACTTTAGATCCCTGTGATGTGTGACCGAGTTCATGCCTCGTTAGGAACAGTGACGGCCGTAGGGCTGCGGCACCCCGGGCAAGCTGAAAACTTCGTCTCTCTTTACAAATATAATTTTATTTAAATTTTCACAAGGAGTGTTACGGACCGGTGTATGCGTTGAGAGATAAACATGTGTGTCTCCTGAAATGCCAACAACAAACATGGAAGACTCGGAATGTGAGTCCACGTAAATAAAAGACAAGAAACAACAAGAACCGATATATATATATATATATATATATGTGTGTGTGTGTGTGTGTGTGTGTGTACAAATAAATGTATTAACAACAAACGTATACAAGCGACAAAGACAATGATGTGCGTAACAAGTGAATGTGGAAACTTTTTGGTTCATAGTATCTGAAGTGAGTGTATGTGTGTACGTACGTGTGTGCGTATTTATTGTTCATATGGGCGCGCGGCCGAGTGATTAGAACGTTCGCTTTCTGACCATAAGACCCGGGTTCGAATTTGCCAGGGAGAAGACTTCCTGATGATATCGGTCTGGAGAGGGGACGTTTGAGAAGTGCCCGAAAACCATACGCGATTTGAGTTAAATTAGATAGACAGAACATTTGGGGTAGCATGGGGTTACAAGTCATCGTGGCCGAGGGTTTGAGTGTGTCGGTGTTGGTCAGATTGTAGATTATTCTAGATAACACACTCTCTCCCAGAAGGTCTAAGGTTTGCTCAGCATAGTTGCAGTATAAGTTGTCTCTGTGGGTGTTGAATAAAGCAAGCGCCTGCAACAGGGATTGGCTAGTCACCCTAGTAGACGGGTATACTCGAATACGAGTGTCCAGTTATTATTATTATTATTATTATTATCATCTTTAAGTATTGTTCATGCGTTTCCCAAAAGGGAAGGAGTTTTTCTGTGAGAGATTTACATGTTGACAGATAAAATCAGAAGAGAGCAAAAAAAAATTATCGCAGAGTATTTATAGTGCCGGAGGGCGTCCCCTAGTAACGGTTTCGAAAATTAGGAGGAGGTAACCCTACAGGAGAAAAAAGGAAAATCTAGAATAACGCGTTTATTACAATATACAATTTAATAGAAGCTAAAGAAAACATTCATTATCCTACCTAAAACATTTATTTTCTAGCCTTTAGATCTGCAAATCTTTTCATGGCTATTTCTACACCTATCTTCTATACATGATCTATATCTATTGAAAAAAATAGACAAAGAATTTAATCTCTCTTGAGTCATGGATAACCGCAAGTATGTTTTTATAAGCTTTAATCTTGGAAGATACCAAATACAGGATATGGCGGCATGATGGTGTTCTCGGCTTTGATGGCGCCCCGGGCGTCGACTACCCGTGTTGCTGGTACCTTTAGCCGGCCCTGGTTAGGAGTGACTTTTCTTTCTTTTTTTCGATTTCAACCTGTTTGCTCTGAAGAGTGTATCGGCCCTGAATGCGATAGTACCAACAATAATGAGTTTGCGTAAAACTAGCAATAAGAAAAATAAGATGTGTATTTCCCATAATGCTGTGATGAAAAGTAAAACTCATAATATGGAGTATTATTACTATTATATAGTATAGTATTTAACCAGTAAAAAAAAAGAACAGCAATGATGGCGACTACATTGACCGGAAAATGTTGCAGTGAAAAAACAAAAACAAAAAGCAATTGGATGAAAACTAGGCACTTCCACAAAAAACACGATACTTCAAGTTTAAAATGAATTTTTAAAAATAAAAAAATCTTTCTTGAAGCTTTTATTTTAGTTATAATTTCAAGCTAAGGGATTAAATTTAATATTTTCAATAAGCAAAATACGTTACTGTATTTCAAAACTAATTTAAATAGACTGAAGGAGTTTTTGTTTTGAAATCACTAATCGCTGATTTTAAGGACATTTGAAACCATCTGTCATCACAATGTAATTCGCCTTATTAAAAAAAATCTTTCGAAAATAAGATATACCGTATATATTCACGTATCATGCAACTTTTAAAGACCTAATTTTGAAGGTAATTTTAAGAGGGTCGCATCATACACGTGATATAAAATTAGCGTATGTACTACTGGCCCTGGCTATATATCCATTTACTGTAGCTTCAAAATTACGTCATTAAAGGTCACATGATACGCGTCTATATACGGTACTTTTCTGAAAGTTTATTTGAGGAATATTAGCTGATTTAAAGTTTAATTAATCTGATTTGAAACAAATCTTACTTGTTTTTAAATATCGCAGAAATACATTTTTTTAGCACGGAGGTATGTGTTTCTTTAAGGTTTTGACAGCTTGACTGACTAACGGAAGTTTATCTAAATTTTTCTACGATGGATATATCTGTAAAAATTACTTGATGAATATAACGTGACCGCATTTTTTACATAATTTTTAACCAGCCAGTAATCTTAAAAGTTTAGAATAATATTCTCCGTAATCTATTTTATTGAATTTTACGTAAATCCCAGTCTAATAAATAAAAATCTTATATATAAAAAGAAATAAATTTAAGATTGAAAATTCAGGGAAACTTTTAGAGATATTTAATCTATTTATTATTGTTCTCCATCCAGTTCAGCAGATATACAAAAATAGAAACGGATGTAAGACAAAGATGTGTCATCTCGCCGGATTTATTCAACCGATACAGCGAGGCGATTCTGAGAGAACTAGAAGTCCTACCAGGATTCATTATTGACGGCCACCGTCTTAACAACATAAGGTACGCAGAAGACACAGAATTCTTGGTTGTTAGCAAAAGGATGAGTCCAAATCAAAGAAAGCAATATCAAACAAGTGCGTAAATTTAAATATCTGGTAAGTGTTTTAACGAGGACGAAAAGAGCAACATCGAATCCGAACACGTGTTGACATAGCCAAAGAAGCATTCCAAAAACCTAAGCAAAATACTAAGAAATAGAAAAATTTCGCTAGAAACAAGGAAAAGAGTACTAAACTACTATGTGATATTTATCTTCCTGTAGGGCTGTGAGTACTGGATGATCTCAAACATGAATAGGAGACTTGAAGCAACAGAATTGTGGTTCTACAGAAGGATGCTGAGGATATCATGGATCAAAGATGTGAGCAACGACGCAGCTTTGAAAAAATGGAAATAAAAAGGAATATTAATATTTAATATCAGGAAGAGAGAGTTGAGGTTTCTGGGGCTCATAATAAGGAAGGAGGGCTTGGAAAATCTGATACTCACAAGACAGAGGGCAAGAGGGATAAAGGAAAACAACGCATAACATATTTGGTGAGTTTGACTAAAAGAGATGGCGGTATAGGAATTAGGAGAAATAACAGAAAAACAAAGTTTATTAAGGGCTGCAAGGGAGATAGAGGAACTTGAGGCTGCAGAGATGTGGTTTTATAGAAGGATGCTGAGAATACAAAAAAAAAAGAAATGTTTAACTGCTATGTAATATCAATCCTCCTATATGGCAATGAATGCCGGGCAATTTCCTAACAGATGAAGAGGAGACTTGAGGCTAAAGAGATGACGTTTTATAGGCGGATGCTAAGAATACAAAGAAAAGAGTGCTTAACTGCAATGTATTCTCATTACATCTATATGGCGTTGGAAGACTGATAGATAGATAGATAGATAGATAGATAGATAGATAGATAGATAGATAGATAGATAGATAGATGAAGGTAGGGAGGATGAAGAAGTGGAGATAAGGAAAGAATGATAGATTTTATTATATATATATATATATATATATATATATATATATATATATATATATACTCTCACAGAACCGTGACTTCGCCTTGTTGAGAACACGCTTACACTCATATATATATATATATATATATATATAGAGAGAAAAGATGAGGAGAGAGCGATATAGGGCGAGGAGGTGTGGAAGAGAAAGAATCAGATAGAGAGATATCAATAGACAGATGGAAGCGCATAGATAGATAGATAGATAGATAGATAGATAGATAGATAGATAGATGGATAGGAGATAGATGAAGGAGAGAGGATGAAGGAATGATAAGATTTTATATATATATTTTATATATATATATATATATATATATATATATATATATATACACAGAGGAGGAGAGAGCGATGTAGGGGAGGGGGGGGAGAGAAAGAATCAGATAGAGAGATATCAATAGACAGATGGAAGGCGCATAGATAGATAGATAGATAGATAGATAGATAGATAGATAGATAGATAGAGAGACTGAGATAGATATAGATAGATAGATAGATAGATAGATAGATAAAGAATGAAGGAATGAAGAAGATTTGTAATCTTAAAGAGCTTTAAAAATAGCAAACGAAAACAGAAATTCCTGGCAGAGAGAAAAGAAAACCTTACAAAAGAAAGAAACCAAATTCGGAAAACAGCGCCTGGCGAAACGCTTTACTTTCGTCTCCATCTTCACGAAATATGGACACGAGTGATTAGCAAGTGGAATTGTGGAGAGAAAGCAAGAGAAATTCGAATCTCCCTAATCGTAGCTCCAAGCCGGAATATTCATCATTGTGATAATTGGTTTCTCAGTTTTTTAAGATATTGTCCCTTCCTCCCGGTCTATCAGGCCCTGTCACGAGACTAGCGAATTAGCAGTTGAATAAGTGACTTCGATGATGACTACAGGAAAACCTTTCTCCAGAAATTCCGTTTTCATCATCTTTTTTCTTCCAATGTCCGTCTGCCAAGGGCAGGTCACTCGAGCAGCCTCCATGGACCAGTCTCAATCAGATCTATTCTATTTCCGATTCTTCTACTTTTCTGGTTACGGTATTAAAAACGAAGCTCCCTCGATGTTAGAAAACGCCATAATCGGGAACACAAAAGAAAAGAGTGATTTTATTTTATTTTAAGGAGACTTTTTCGCATGTTTTTCCTTTCTGCTCATCTGCTTCATACAGAGCAGTGTTTCCCAAAGTGGACGATAGCGCCCCCTTGTGGGCTCTGTTATGTTGAAAGGGGGCACTGGGAAATTTTTTTGTTTCATTTGGTGGGGCGGTGAACATACTTAGGTGGCGGTGGGCATGTATCAGTTTTTTTCAGATTTTCAAGAATTATTTAATATTGGCTACAAAAGGAAATTTCTAAAAGTGCTATCAAATTTTTCTTCATTGCTTTTTCAACTTCCTATAATGGCCGAATGTAATTTCAACGCAATTACAGAGCTTCTTACTAAACAAAGAAACCGCCTGCAAATTACAAAATAAGGTGATTTACCATTAATTCCAAGAAGCTAAAGAGCTTTAGCCAGTAAGCACCAAAGTCAACGATCGTATTAAAAACATTTTAACATCTATCAAATTTTTATATAGTTTTATATAGTTTTATATAGTTTTTATATAGTTTTTTTTTTAGGATTTTAATCATTGTCATTTATAATAGAAATGAAAACAGTATTAAACTTAATTTTGCACTAAAACCGAAGTGTTATCTTGCTATGAAAGATCAGTATAATATTCAAAATTTAATTTGACACGGGAGGGGGGCGTTAACAAAAAATTTGTACCCAAAGTGGGTGCTGGTTGAGAAAAGGTTGGGAAACGTTGATATAGAGCCTTCTAAATATTCATACGCCTAAGTTAATGGGAAAAGTTATTATGGAGATTTTTATAGTTCCGTGGATCGGGAGAATTTTCATAAAACTAGTCCCGCCAGATTTTTGCTTGTATCGTGACTTCGATTCTCATTGGGTACTCTCTTACTGCCCAGTACCAGTCGAACATTTTATTTATAACACATCGTGTTACTTCAGAAGTAAATTAATCTTAGTCAAAGAAAACCCAATAGAGAATGATCCTTGACATGCTTTTTTTCTGATGAGTCTATTTGCTAGCACTGGGGTGCTGAAAACATCTTTCTTTTCTGCTCCACTTTTTCGCTGTTCGAAACGTTGTGTTCCCATCATTTAATTAATTAAAATATTTTGTTTAAATGCAGGGTTAGCCATGAAAAACATAAAATAAATGTAGGGAACAATATAGGTCGGCTTCTTTTGTGCAGGTTATTTAAGGCCAGAAAATATTTTAGATCTTAAGAATGATTTATTGATACGACTTCTACTAATTAACCCATAGATTGGGAGAGAAGAGGTGTTTTCATAGCTTTCCCAAAGTTATTTGCGCGTACGTGACGATAATGAACCCGACTTAAATTGGAACTCGAACAACCATCATCCGTTACATCACTCATATATCGAAACTCACAACATTTAACATTCCGAAGCGGTCATCCATCTAGTTACTGAGCAGGCTAGACGTTGCTTAACTTCGTACGAGAACCGGTGTTTCAACGTAATATGGCCGCAGCCGTAGTGGCGGGTGGGGGGAATGAGAATCTCTAGTAAGACATATGCATTACAGGTCATCTAATAGATAGATAGATAGATAGATAGATAGATAGATAGATAGATAGATAGATAGATAGATACCGGGATAGATCGATATGAACATAGATAGATAGATAGATAGATAGATAGATAGATAGATAGATAGATAGATAGATAGATAGATAGGTAGATATGGATATACTTAGATATGAACAAATTGAGATAGATATGAACAAATTGAGATAGATATGAACATTGAGATAGATAGATAGATAGATAGATAGATAGATATAGATAGATAGATATAAATATACCGAGATAGATCGATATGAACATAGATAGATAGATAGATAGATAGATAGATAGATAGATAGATAGATATGAATATACATAGATATGAAAAAATTGAGATAGATATGAACATATTGAGATAGATAGATAGATAGATAGATAGATAGATAGATAGATAGATAGATATGAATATACATAGATATTTGAGATAGATAGATAAATAGATAGATAAATATAAATATACCGAGATAGATCGATATGAACATAGATAGATAGATAGATAGATAGATAGATAGATAGATAGATATGAATATACATAGATATGAAAAAATTGAGATAGATATGAACATATTGAGATAGATAGATAAATAGATAGATAAATATAAATATACCGAGATAGATCGATATGAACATAGATAGATAGATAGATAGATAGATAGATAGATAGATAGAAATATGAAAAATTGAGATAGATATCATAGATAATACTATAATAGATAGATGAAAGACTATCAAAAGATATCATAGTAAGACTATAAAGGTGAAAGACATGAGACATGAATTTTGATACCATTATGTTTTTTGTTTTACTTTTTATTTTTTCGGTTTGCCTGGTTTTTCAAGCCAACAGCTGACCTAAACACTTTTTGTCAAATGTGTCACAAATTCTCAGTACTTAATTCCATTTTCTAGTCGCTCGGTGCTCTGTTACATTGACTGTACATATGACGTAATTTTCCCGCTTTATCCAAGCAAAGCCGGCAGCAAACATTGCAGGTGAGGTCATGATTGTCACCTATATAGTGTAAATGTTACTTCTTTTTTTTTTTTTTTTTTTTGGATCTTATTAAAAACGTGACAAACATATGCGAACTACACTGTCACGTTGATAGAACCAATCCTCAAACTCTAAGATCGTCAGACACTTAAAAAAGGCTTTAACGTCAGACTATTGGTTCGATCAACATGAAAGTTTTAGTTACACTTATGCTTGTCACGTTTTCGATAAGATCTAAAAAGAAAAAAAAAGGAGGGGAGATTTACACTATATGTGGCTCTGCATTTCACCCCAAGCAAGGCGGGAGTGTCACTAATACGCAATAGTTTACAGAGAGTGGGAGCAAGAGTAAAGAGGCGTGATAGAGGAAAGGATGAAGAGAAGGACGGGAAATTAGATCAAGGCATTTGAAGATGTCAATTGACATTACATTTGAATATTTGAAGATTATAGCTATCAAGGAAGCAAGTAAGAGGAATGGAATTCCACAGACGAGAAGTGCGAGACATAAAGCTATTGGAGTAGAAGAGACGGCTACATTTAACCATTTCGACAGTGAAAAGGTGGGACTGAGATGCCAACCTAGTAGCACGTTTAAATTCATGCAGTTTGGGAACTAACTCGTAGCTCGTCGGAGCAGTTACCGTGAAAGTATTTGTAGAAAAGACAGAGGGAAGCGACGGCATATCTGTAAGAAAGTGACTGTAGATGAGATGCCAGATCAGAACCAATTACATTGCATATTCGTCCCTGGATTTTGTCGAGGACCTTGAGACGAACAACTGGAAGAATTTAGAGAACGCTGTTTTCATACTGTTAACTGAAAATATTACTGTTGCTAAGGACATTTTGTTTTGTTGTTATTAGTTACTTTGTTTTAATAAATTCATTTCGTTTTTGCCTTGAAAAAGTCCATATTGAACGAAACGCGTCGGCTGCCATTACAGTTTTCCATTGTCTCTTACATTTATAAATATTGTCTTTTCTGCAGGTTAACTCTGAGAAATTTTTATATATATATATATATATATATATATATATATATATATATATATATATGAAGATGGAACATATGAGACTTCTTATGTCGCGTTTTGAAATCATATTTTAAATAAATAATTATATATATATATATATATATATATATATATATATATATATATATATATATAAATATAAAACACATTCTTTAAAGGATCTTTTTTTCACCAACACTTCTTCAAAAAAAAAACGTTTGTACCTTTAAACAAAAATGAAACAAATTCGTACAAAAAAGGAAATATGGATCTTATCTGTTCCTAGCGAGTATAAAATAAAAAAAATTAATCACTGCCCACCTAACAGAAACAGAGAAGGAAAAAATCTCTTTCTGTTTACACAAAGACGGTCGATGTAAATCTATATACATTACCTCCAAGATTCACACGTGGTTCACTGATCGTGTTCTGCATAAAATGGTAAAGGCTGTATCCGTGTACTTGACAGCATATGTTGGGTTATCTATCAAATACTACCCACCAGCTATCTTACAAGCCGTTTGAGTCAAGCGTGTGCTGCTAATATTGGCAGGCATATGTTATCTAGGCTGTGTCTCGAGTTTGTTGATTGGTTTGCCCTACATATTTACGGGGTTCTATTTTGGAGATGATAGCAGAAACTATGGACGGAATTATGTGCTAATCATTCATTTGAAATTCTGGTCTACGGGGAAAATCAAAGATACTCCTAAAATGTTGGGAGGGAATTTGGAAGAGAATTTCCGAGCAAAGCATTCTGTTTTATTAGAAGTGCATGACAATATTTCAGACTTTTTGGAATTATTGAAGATTGAGATGAGGGATTGAGGATTGACTCTTGTTCTCACAGAACCGTGACTTCGCCTTGTTTGAAACACGGACACTTATATATATATATATATATATATATATATATATATATATATGAAGAAATATATACGGAAAGAACAAACAAAAATCCTAATATGTATTATGCTGTTTTTAATGTTAATATAATGTCAACGTCGGATTTCGGTCTATATCATCATATTCATAAAACATAATTAACATTAGACTATATTTAATTCAACATGAAAAAGACGATGGATATAAGAGTAAATCAAAACAGACAACTGAAATTTTTTTCAACATCAGCAAAAATCCGTTTCAATATGATCACGTCAAAACGTGGGCGACAAAATTCTTTAGTATTTTGAATGAAAAATTAAAAAATTTTATTTTAATCTTTATATGTACGTTTGTCGACCCAAAGGGAAATATTAAAGAAGCCAGGTCTAGTATTCACCGTATGAGATAGATATTAT